TCCAAGTGTTTTACACCTGTCAGTAACTCATATCAGTTACTGTAAATATGTTAACAGCATAACATTGGTTCTTAAGGGAGAGGAGGTGTGGGGTGGAGGGGGGGGAAGCTTTGAAGTAAACAAACTACTGGCAGGCTGGCTGCATATGTGCTAGACATGTTTGATTCCACAAAATATACAGTCGAAGCACTTTACGCTATACCCTGTGAAGCGCTTTGAGACGTCTTGATGATGTGATAAGGCGCTGTATCAAATGCAAGGATTATTATTGGAAAAAATTGTTTACTTTTACTACTTTTCCAGGTTAGTTTAATTGAGAGTGAAATATCTTTTAAAGCCTCCAATTTTCTCTAGCCCCATCCCGATCTAATATAATAATTTTAATGTCTTGACACATTATCTATCATGGAGAGTGAGTACTACGATATTCCTTATCTGTACGGGTGAATCGTGTGGAGAAAAATACCTGTGCAGTAGTATTCTTTGGGTAAGATGGTAAACCAAAATCCTATCTGTCTTCGAGTGAACATTTAAAAATCCTGTCACACTATTCGAAAAGTGAAGAGTTTCTCTCAGGCCAACAATCTTCCAGATTAATTGGTCACTCACCTCACGGTTGTTTAGGATCTTGCTGTTCTTTCTATCCATAATTCTATAAAATCTAATTGAGTTTCCTTTTATTTCCAGACAAATGGATGAAAACAGAAAGAAATCAGAACTATCGGTGAGAGTATTTCTTTGTTGATATCCCAATTGGTACATTGCTTCCAAATGGTTTGGATAAATGGAAAGGTTCTGCCAATGATTTATTAGAATTCAGTGGTACTGATCTACTGATAGATACCAGGCAAAGATCGCCTAAATTTATGAAGTTTTGGTTGTTACCAGAACCCTTTTTCTATTGATTAAAACTAATCAGAAAATTCAATTTTACCATTCTCTGCTTTAAAGTTAGCTAAAGTGTTTGCTAAAGAGTTTGGTATTTCAGTCGATTTTTTTAAAAAAAACTTCTCTAACGAAGTGCTGCACAGAATTGCCTAGTGTGCAATGGTGGTTTAACCATCTGAACAATTGGGGAGCCGACATCCGTACCTTTCTTGCGATCTGGAGGTGACTATTGTAAAACAATGCCTGCCTGACACACACACACACTCACAGACACAGAGACACATGATTAGAGACAGAGAGAAACAGACACAGAGAGATACACACACACTCAGAGACGCAGAGAGAGACACACACGCTCAGAGACACAGAGAGAGAGAGAGACACACACACTCAGAGACACAGAGAGAGACACACACACTCACAGAGAGAGAGACAGACACAGAGAGAGCCACACACACACACTCAGAGACACAGAGAGAGACACACACACACACGTTCACAGAGAGACAGACACAGAGAGAGACACATTCTCTGAGAGAGAGAGAGACACACACACTCATAGACACAAAGAGACATACATATACACACACACACACACAGAGGAGAGATAGAAACACATACACATTCACACAGAGACCATCATAAACACACACACATTTAGAAGGGACACACACAGACACACTCACAAACATACGTAGACAGACAGAGGAGAGAGACACAGACACACTCACAAACAGGCACACATACCCGAGGAGAGAGACACACTCGGATAGACACTGAAAAACATATAGAGGAGAGAAACACACTCACAAACACAGAGAGACGCACACACAGACACTCACAAACACTTAGAGAGACACCCTCACACAGGCACACTCACAAACACACAGAGAGAGAGAGACACAGATACAACAGCAACAACAACACAATTACATTTGGAAAGTGCCTTTCACGTCGGGAGGATGTCCTAAGGCGCTGGACAGACAGAGTTACGGACCCGAGCTGGGGGTCGGGGTGGGCGAGGGCGGAGGGCAGGGGGGAAGCAAGGAGATTGAAAGCACGATTGAAGAGGAGATTTGTGAGGTGGGTCTTGAAGGTGGCGAGGGAGGGGGCGAGACAGAGGGACTGCGGAGGTTGAGGTAAGAGGAGAGGTGGTGGATGAGGATAGAGTAGTCAACGAAGTCGAAAGCAGCCGAGAGGACGAGGAGGCAGAGCGAGCCCTGGTCGCAGGTGGAGAGAATGTCATTTGACCAGGGCTGTTTCTGTGCTGTGGGCGACACGGAATCCCGATTGTAAGGGTTCAAGAAGGGAGTGGCGGGAGAGGAAGGAGCAAAGCTGAGAAGCAACAACTGGTTCCAGGTCCTCGGAGAGGAAGGGGAGGTTAGAGATGGGGCGGTAGTTAGGGAGTAGTGAAGGGTCCAGGGAGGGTTTTTTNAATTATAGGAGTGATGACAGCATTTTTTAAAGGGGTGGGAACAGTACCAGAGGACAGGGAAGAGGTTGACGATATCAGTGAGAAGAGGGGCAAGGAGATGGAGCTGGAAGGTAAGGAGAGGGGTAGGGATGGGGTCGAGGGAGCAGGTGGTGGGTTTCATATGGGTTAATGTGGTGATGAGAGAGGAGGGGAAGACGGGTTCAAAGGTGTGGAGGGAGGGATGGGTAGGGGCCGGTGTGGGGGAGGAGATGGGGAGAGGGTAGCAGATGCAGTGGCAGAGGCAGCTGAGCAGATTCCCTCGACTTTTGATTCGAGGAAGTCCAGCATTTGAGGTGAGGATGGGTGAGGCGTGAGAGGATGGGCGAAGGAGCCGGTTTGTGATGGAGAAGAGGAGCCTGGGGTTATCCAAGATTGTCTTGGAGTAGAACGACAATTTAGTGGAAGTGAGGGGAGGGCGGTAGGATTTGACATGGTCCAGCCAAATCTGCCGATGGACAGTTAGGTTTGATTTAAGCCAGGTGCGCTCAGCGGAACTCGCCTGGCTTTAAGGGAGTGGAGGTGGCTGGTGTACCAGGGTGATTTGCGTTAGTAGGAGACGGTTCGGGAAGAGAGGGGAGCGAGGGAATCGAGAGTGGAGGAGAGGGAGCTGTGGAGAAGAGTGACCGAGGAGGATAGGTCACTGCGGGAGGATGCCCAGAGGGGAAGGATTTCAGATGACTCCAAGGCAGCCGAGAGGGAGTGGGGGCGGGGGGTGGGAGATTCTTTTCCAGGGGCGGTATGAGATAGAGGTGGGTTGGGTGGCGGTGGGAGAGGGATTGAGGAGTTAAGGGAGATGAAGTGATGGTCCGAGATGGCTTTGTCAATGATGGTGAGGTCCGAGACAGTGAGGCTCCGAGTGATCACCAGGTTGAGGGGGTGACCGCGGATGTGGGTGGTGGAGTGAATGTGGAGGGAGAGATTGAGGGAGGAGATAAGGGAGGAAAAGACAGCAGAGGTAGAGCATAATACCAGATGTTTTTTAATTGAAGCTAATTTTCAAAATGTGTATCTGTCAAATCTCAATTGTTTTGTTTATTAACAATGCTTAACTTCCTTGTAGGGTAACTCAAGTGCAGAAACGTCAAATGGTACCAGGTAAGGGAAATGGCTGTGAATGATACAAAGTGATGCTTCACTGAAAGCAAATTATACATAATGGAGTCCCATTATAAACGCAGTAGTTTGGGTCCATAAAATTCCAACAATAGCTTTGTCACAATGCGACATGTAGGAAGTAACCCGGACATCTTCCATTTTCTAGCTTGGAGGAAGCTAGCCAGGGGTCAGTGGGGCATCCATGTTATACATAAACCCACGTTGTAATGAAGCGCATTAAAATAGGTTCCACTGTATTTTTGTTATCAGAATAATAATTCCTACATTTGTGTAGGAGAAAGTCTCAAAGCTTTTCACAGTATAGTGTTTTGTGAGTGGAATGGGTCAGCCAATTTGCACACAGCAATATCCCGCAAGCAACTATGAACACAAATCAAAGGGTGGTTTAATTTTCGTGGCAGAGCACTTCTGGAACCCTTTGATTAATTTGAATGATCAATTTTATTTGGGGGATTTGGGTTAATTGAGAGCAGAAGTACAATGTCACTGTTTCATTAATTCAAAGCTCAGACAGGAGAAAGTAAAACATTCTTTTTTTTAAAAGAAGTTGAACAACAAATTGCTTCTTAATGGAAGTCACCGGGTGGTTTAATGTTGGCAGAGTACATCTGGAACCAAATCCTGTGACATCTGCTGAGCACAGTATTTATAAGTAATCTCGATCGTTGTATAACAGTAAAAGATCTAGGTTTACATACAATCAATATATGTGAGCAAATCCAATATTCAAAGGGATATAGGTCAAGGAAACCAGCAAGGCATGAATAGATGAATCATAACTTAAATATGTTGTCCAACACATTGCAAACTATTACTTCCTTTAACTCATCTGCCTTTAAATTAGTCTGATGTTCATATAGTACAATTTCCATTCAATGTATAAACGACTGTAAATTTGTTCCAAGGGGAAAGCAGGGGTCTCGGTCAAGGAATGAAGCCTCCCGTCCTAGAAGAGGTAAAACTAGATTATTGCATCTTTGGATATTTAGATCAGACATCAGTGCTTGTGTTTAGCAGTAGCTCAATGTATTTTTCCTCAACGTTGCTAATAGTCATAGGAATCTCGCCTATACCCATTAATGAAGGTGGTGTCAGATATTCAATGTTAAAACTGTCAAAATAGTGTTAACTGCTTTTCTATACAATTATATCGATTAAATAGAATATACACCTTTGTATATATTGTTAGATGTTCTTGTACACTATATTGTCACAATATTTAATCCTAATCAGAAAGCCTGAATATTATATGCTGAAAGTATTTTCATCGCCACAATGGTTTGACACTAATGCCTAGAACCAATATATTTACTGTTTGAATGGGTGAACGGTGGGCCACTCATCCTAGAAGGCATTGCATCATGACCATACTACTTATGCTATAAGACAATGTATCCTGATCATGCGACTTGGGTGTACAAGCATTTTCCAGCAATCACTTTCATTCTGTTTCTACCTAGCCACATTACCGGTGGAAGTGCCAAAGAAGTGTTATTTACTACGAGAACTTACTGCAAAGAGAATGGCGATTGAAAAAGGAATGTTGGATGTTGATCAACTTGTTCTTAAACTCATAACATCAGGCAATTTGGACTTTATCACCTTGAATGAAATCACTAAATATCCAGTTAAAGAAGATCGAACACGAATTTTGCTGGATCACTTTTCAAAGATAAATGACAATGGCATTTTAAGACAGTTTGTTTCTTTTATGCGGGATCCATTGATTCTGAATTCAGAAGCACTACAGTGGGCTGAATATATGCAAGGTTGTAGTAAGTATTCTTTAAGCGATTTCTCCACTTATCGATCCGTCAAATCGACTAACAAGCAGATACCTACTTACTGCTAGGTGAACAGAGACATGTGGAGTAACCAAACTTGCTCAACGTTTCACCCTACAGGGAATCGAACGCAGGTCCTCTTGCGGGTGCTCTAACCACTTATCTACAGGACTCCACTCCACTTACCTCTTTCCCCCACCTCCCCCCGGGCACATGTGCATTGAGCAATGGTTCCACCAATTGGTGGTGTGGAGTTTAAGCAGCAGCTGCTTGACTCTCTGCAGACTAATCCAGGGGGTTCCAGGCTCTGGATGTACAAACGTTTGTCACAAACTTGGACTCCAGGTTACATCTTCCAGCAGCTGTCGCCCCAAGCCTCTGAGTTTCCTCATCAGATATTTGGTGGGCATCTGCCTTCCACAACAGCTTGTTATGTGCTAGCCACCTTGATGTTCTTGAGATGCAAGTCTAATACCTTATACCAGCTTATTCAGCACCAGCTGCTTAATCTAGGTCTTCATGCAAGAGGCTTTGGCAAAATTATGTGCCCGCTGTGAAGCTGCCTCCACCTCCAGGTCAGGGCTTAATGACAGGTCAGGGTTTTGAGCTCAGGTAGCCGAAGCTGATATCTGCATTGTTTTGGAAATCTTACAGGGGTGTGGTTGGAAGTACTCTTCTGAGTTTGTCATTGAAATTAAGTTGCCAACCAATATAATGAAAATGCTGCTTATATCTGGCTAGTATCATGATGACTTAAAGACAATCTGTGACACAGAACGTTAGCATACAGTATCTGATGTATATTTCCTTTGGTTCTGCTTTGTTCAGGTGATAGTTGCTGCATGTTCTTCATTAAGAGATACAGCAATGTATTCAAATATGCCCTGGAGGAACAAGGAATCGAGAGTTTTGCTGAATACTTTGAGGAATCGGGCGTGTTGAACAGTTCAGAGATCGAGGAATTATGCAAATACAGCTTTAAGGAGGCAGCGGAACAGTTTATGCACATCCTCTTCACCAAAACAACCATTCTCACCGTCGCAAACATGTGGTTTGTTTTAGTGGAGTTCCGACATGAAATTCCTTATCTGGGACCGTATATTGATAGTTTCCTGGATGCATTCGATGAACAAAGTAATTATTTTTATCTATCAAATCTAGTAGGGGGTATTATTCATTTCTTCTGATCCATGTGAACAAAAATTCATTTATAAGAATCTTTTAGACCATTCTGATGAGGTGACCACTATTCGGGATTTAATATTATTATCAGTTTTTTAAAAGACAATGAAGAAATACTAAAAGAAAGTACCTTGGAACAAATTCGTAATATGCTGAATGTTACTGAAAAAATCTGTATGTTGTAATGATCCTTCTTATGGTAACTTTCTTTTCTCATGTTTGAATTTAGCTGGATTTTTCTCTCCACGTTTTGACCCCCTATTGCCAGTGGAACCATTGTTGGTTGGGAAGTGCTATGTTAATTTATATCGCCTGCTTCATATAATCCATGTGGAAGGCACAGAGGCTGTTCGGAGCATTTTTGATCGCCACATCACATCAGCGGAGCTGGAAGAAGAAGTTAGGAAGAACAAAGTTTTAATCAAGAATCGTTTGGAAGGCAAAGATTTTAGCTCATTCAGTAAAATATGGCTGAATATTATTTATTCAACGGAGAAATTCAAAACTGTGCATTTTACATTGCCATTGTTTCAGTTTCTCGCTGTATTTATGAAGAAGTTTCCACGTCCAAAAAAGGGCTGGACCGGCCGGCTTGCAAAGTCGGACACTTCTTCGGGAGCTTATTTGCGACGGATCTGTGAGATGCGTGATTCTCTTTTGAAGGACATTTTCTTCACAGATGTATTTTACTCAAAGTTTGACAAACTATGGAATGAAATTACACAGATACTGGTTCAGCTTGGAGTCAGCGATAAGAGGCTACAAGAACTTAAAACGCAACCGATGAGTGCTGTGTTCATGGACAGGAAATATATGGAGAAATACTTCAACAAACCTTTATCCCAACTACTAGAGGAGCTCATTGTTAGACACCACAAAGGTAATATAATATATTTGTTAATTAAATCCACAAGTGCTGTAAACTTACTCTTCTTATCCATTGAAAATGCCCAGCATATTTCTCTTCAAAGGGCTAAAATGCTTCAGCTTTAGGCTTAAAGCCATTGTCTTCAAATTGAGTTTCTTATGAATTATGGAAAAATCTTAAATTCAGCCTTAATTTGGAAGTTATTTTTCCACAGTTCTTTGTAACAGCAGTCAGCGAAAAAAAAGGGTTCCAGCCTGAGCCTCATCTATGTTATAAAAGGAAACAGAAACTTCCTTTGTCGCTGAAGGTTGCTTTTAAATTTTTTGGTGACGCGGGGGGAATTTAATTTATACAAAATAGGAACCAGAAACCTGATCTGCTTAAGATTAGCAATAGTGGGTACCCCAATTCAATTCATAAAGATCTGTTATACTTAGAAAGTGAGCTGTACAGACCAGGAAACCCCATGTTTAATCTATAATCTTTATTTAGCTGAGGCAGCAGTAGGGGGTGTTATAATTATCAGCATTCAGAGTTATAGAGAGAAAATTCAGCAGCGGCTAATTACTATGCAGTTGTCATAGCTGGAAAACGTAGGTGGTGGGTCAGAGCACACTCTGTGACATACTCCTTTAGTTGAATAACCTGCTGAAATTTTCTACAAACAAAAACAGAAGTCGCTGGGTACACTCAGCAGGTCAGGCAGCATCTATGGAGAAAGGAAAATGAGTCAATGTTTCGGGTTCACAACCCTTCGTCAGTTCCTTTCTCCACAGATGCTGCCTGACCTGCTGAGTGTACCCAGCGACTTCTGTTTTAGTTTCAGATTTCCAGCATCTGCAGTATTTTGTGTTTTGCTGAAATCTTCTGTCTTGGTTCATGGATGATAGCCTCTTGGGTGAGAGATTTGGAGAGCAGCTACCTGCTACCTCAGCATCCATCAATCTCTACCTTGAAGAGAGGAAAGAAGAAGATTAAATGGGTGGGGGTGGGAGTATAACAAAAAGCAATGTCAGTTTGGAGAGTTATGGGGGACAAGTTAATCTGCTGTTACAAAAGGGCAAGTAATATGATCCTTTCTCATTACCTTATGTTTTTTGTACGTTTGTTTTAATTACATTTTTCATGAATGGATGCATTTATTGTGGGATAAATAAAGATTTGCCAGTCATCCATTTTATTTGCAGTACAATCTGCATGTCAACTAGACTTTTGCAGCTAAATATTCCTTAAATGACTAGTGTGTGCCTGCAGTTTCCTTTACTTCATGCATTACAGTGTTCTTTTTCTCTCTCTGTTCAGGTATCAGTTCAGTTTGTGCATGTTCCTTGGAGGAGAATCTGCCTTCAGGTGGGTCTTGTGACACTTCAGTGTCTCTGTTTGGAGGCTTTGTTTTCTCACCTAGCCTAATTATCCCAAGTGAAATATTTAATCGCTGTATAATAAATAGGATTTATAAATGGTGCAAATCAAGTTGGTGAAGCAGCTTTGTGTTTCTTCAATATCTTTGCACTGAAGCTCATATATGCTGTCAGTCACCATAATCAGAAAAATAGCTGCTGCAAATGAATTGTTGCAGTATTTTGTAAGAATATTGCATTTATTGTTGTAATATTTTAAAATAATTAAATGCTTGTATTGCTGATTTACGGATGGTAACTAATATACTTTTTGTGTCGCCTTCTGGGTGTTAATCTTGTGTCTAACAGAAACCAAAGTTAATTAAAAGACAAAGTAAGAAAATCAAGCCTCTTGTATTTCAGAACAACCAAAGAAGCTTGAAGCAAAAGTAGCTGATATCACAAAAGCTAAAGTAGCTGATATCAAGGAACAGAACACAAAAGCTAAAGTAGCTGATATCAAGGAACAGAACACAAAAGCTAAAGTAGCTGATATCAAGGAACAGAACACAAAAGCTAAAGTAGCTGATATCAAGGAACAGAACACAAAAGCTAAAGTAGCTGACATCAAGGAACAGAACACAAAAGCAAAAAAGGAGCAGAAAGAAAAAGATACATCAGAGGATGAATCTGAACCACTTGTGAGTGTATGTCGCTAATTTTGTTAATCAAAGGCCTAATCACATGCACTTTGAAGCGAATCCATCTTTATATTAATATCAACCTGCACTTGCAAATGGATCATTATCACAGTAAAATGAGCTCCAAGATGTCAATCTAGCAGCTGACCCCAAACAAACATAGCTACCACCGTTTAACAATTTGCGTATTGTGGATCTAGGCAATGACAGAAAAATACCTATTAATTCTATAGGTTGTCTTTGTGTTTTAGTCCTGCTACATTATCAGATTTCTGTTCTGTTTGCACTTTTGCAAAAAAAAATCCTTTGTTCTCCTGATGGCCAAAGCAGATAAATGCACCATCTGACAAACTAACCATACTGTTCAGCAGGTCACAGATTATATTCATGGTTTATACTAAATTAGCTGATCTCAGTCAAATCATGCTGCTGACTTCAGCCAGGGATTATGATTGCCATCTAATGACTCCTGAAGGGGAAATTACCCAATCTGGTTATCAAGGAGATTGGGATGCCCTCCACAGTTGATTACCAACACTTGTGATCTAGGTTTACACATAAGGACTGCCTATTTGAGTGAGGAAGGTTATGAGTGCATGTGGGACCCCAAAAGGAGTCAGCATCTTCAGGAGATAAGGAAGAAAAGAGCCGTGGGAAAAATATTATAATAATACTTGAATAACACAAAATACTGCAGATGCTGGAAATCTGAAAACAAAAACAGAAGTTGCTGGGAACACTCAGCAGGTCAGACAGCATCTAGGGAGAAAGAAAAGTGAGTCAACGTTTCGGGTCCACGACCCTTCGTCAGTAAAGTGAATTAACTGTATAAACGGTGGGTGAAATGCAGCAGCCAATTGCACACAGCAGTGTCCCACAAACAGTCGTGGATTGAGTGACCATATTATTATTTTTGAAGGGATTATTATCCCTAGAAAAGTGATCTGCCAATCGACTAACAACCGGGCTCCTACTTACCGCAGGGTAAACGGGTGTGTTGAGTAAGGAAATTTACCCAACGTTTCACCCTGCCCAGGAAATCAAACCCAGGTCCCTTCACTTGCGAGGCGAGTGCTCTAACTACTAATCTGCAGGACTTCACAATTAACTTTAACATCCCCTACCCCACATACACATATTTCCCCTTATTTTTAAATGAGTTGCCTTCATCTATTTTACACTGGAAGCCTTGGATTTTCCAGGCAACCTACTGCTCACTTGAAAATATTGGTTGTCAAGAGAAGTGACAATTTTCTTCATCCATATGTCTCAGAGCCAAACCAAGTAACTGATCAAACAAAATAATTTGGGTTGTAGGTTGTTGTGGAGCCCAAGTCCATCATTCACATGGTTCTCAAGTGAGAATCTTGACTGCTCTGCTGCTGAATTATATCAAAAGTTAATTTGATTGCAGTGCTGGGGGAAAGCGGAAGGTGTTGCATTGTTAGACCTTTGAATGAAATATTAAACCGGGTTCTTATCTGCCTGTTTAGGTGAATGTAAAAGATGCCATGGCACTTTTCAAAAAGAGAAGGTAGTTTCTCCCCATGTGCTAGTGAACAGTTCCCCAGGTAAAATTGGTCAGTCACTTCATGGCTGTGGGAGACTACTCTGCGCAAATTGGCTTCAGCATACACCTTTTTAAAACAAACAACACATCGTCATTACACTTTAAAGTATATTCTGTGAAGCACTTTGAATCATCCTCCCAAAGTAAAAGTCACTATATCAATTGTAATTATGATAATAATAAGTTCAGCAAGTGAATGCTTTGTATTTTGTGCCATAGACAACAGCGGAAAACACAAAATCAAAGAAAAACGGAAAAGGGCAAGAGGTAAAAAGGTACGGTGGAACTGAGATGATTGCCCTACAACGGTAGGGCTCTTTGTGTGTTCTTTACCATAAAGCTTTCAAGTGCAAGAAGCTGTCTTTTCCATTTAACTCTCCGTACACCACAATTGTGGCAGGAGTTACTTGTGTGATTTTAATGTTTTCAGAAAATTAAAGTATTGGGTCTATTAATTCAGGTTTAAATGGCAATTCATAGTCAAGGAATTAAATATATACTTTTCAAGTCAACAAGTGAACCAAATTTAAAAAGTTGGATTCTCACTGATTTATTTTTNGTATGTGACTATTCAGTCTAACTGTTGTGATATATCCACTTGATTTAAGTCTCAGTTAGAACTTACTAAAGTTCATTTCTTCAGAGAGAATGTATCAAAGAGTTATATGAAAACCTGGCTACAGTCACCTGGGTGAAAGATCATTTTTACTCCTTTGTATCTCCTTTACTCTTTAAAGATTTTGTTTCTAATGCAACATTGCTCTGTTAGTAACAACCTGATTTTTGCTGTTGTAATACTTTCTGAACACAGGGGAAAAAGACAGAAGCTGCTGCCCCGACACTTACAAAGGAAGCTGAGACCCTTGGAGAATTAAAATGGTAAGAGCCTATTTAATAAAGTTCAGAATCAATCCTAATATGGCCATCATTACTGCTTTAGTAGAAAACAAGATGCAAAATACTGCAGATGCTGGAAATCTGAAACAAAAACAAAGTCGCTGGGAACACTCAGCAAAACGAAGGATCATGGAAGGATTGTTCTGACGAGGGGTCGTGGACCCGAAACGTTGACTCACTTTCCTTTCTCCATAGATGTTGCCTGACCTGCTGATTGTTGCCAGCGACTTCTGTTTTTGTTACTGCTTTAGAAGTTCCTACCTGAGCAACTTAGATTTTGTATGGATGGTGACATTCCTAAATTGATGATGTAAAGCTGTGTGATTATACAACAACAACTTGCACTTAAATAGCACTTTCCATCCAGGGTAGCGTCTCAGAGCGCTTAACAGTGCCTGAGCTGGGGGGGATGGGGTGTGGGAGGGTGACTGTAAGCACGGTCGAAAAGGAGGGTTTTCAGGCGGCACTTGAAAAAGGAGAGCGAGGGGGCAAGGCGGTGGGATTGAGGGAGAATGTTCCAGAGTTACGGGCCATAGTGGCTGAATGCGCGACCTCCAATAGTGGAGCGGAGGGTGCGAGGAACAAGCAGGAAGCCGGTGCCAGTAGAGCGGAGGTCTTGGGGAGTGAGGAGTTTGGAGTGGTAGGGAGTTGCCAGAGAGTGAATGTATTTGAACACGAGCGTGAGGATCTTAAGACAATCCTGTGATTGGTGATGGGGAGCCAGTGGAGCCTGGCCAGAACTGGTGAGATGGGGGTATTGAAGTTTGGTCCAGGCAAATATGTGGGCAGCAGAGTTCTGAATAAGCTAGATTTTTTGAATAGTGGAGCTGGGGAGACCACCGAGAAGTGAGTTTAAGTAATCCAGCAATTGAGCAATTATAGTGAGTCTAGCCTCCCAAAAGGCATTTGATTAAGTACCACACGAACAAAGATGAGCTACTCGTGAGTTTGTTGTTTGAATACCTTGAGCCAAAAAGATGCAGTCATTATTTGTGGTGTTCGCAGTAATTTACATTGATTATATTGGAAGATAATCACAAGATAAATGCTCCCTCAGCAAAAATTGTCTTTCTTTCTATTGACCAATATTGTGCTGCAGTCTCTCCCCTCAGAGCAGTGAAGTGCCACTGGAGCAGCAAGTAATGACACAGGAGTCTCGAGCGACAGAAACTGGTAAAGATGAGCAACTTGGAATTTATTTGTGTAGGAATTAGTTGAGACCAAGAATAGATGATTGTTTGCGGCTAAAGCCTTTCATATTCCGACACAACCTTCCAAAACAAGTACACTAATCTGCAACTTTTAAGTACATATATATCTGTTCCTAGGGTTGAGTGCCAATTACAGTTTATGCAAATTACTGATAATAGATAAACAAATCAAATCTATGTTCTTGGGCTTGTTTAGATTTGGTAAAATTTTTGAATTGTTGGTGTGAACTAGTAGATTTTGTGTTTGTCACCTTGTGCTAGATTTAACATCGGGACAAGACAGCTTAAACAGCACGTCTCATCTCGAGACTGATCAGCCGATGCCTGCATCCTCTCAGGCAGTCTCATTCAGTCCAACTGATCCCGAATATTGTGCAAATTGTGAAGATGGAAATGAAGGAACTGAGATTGAGACGGAAACCAGCCACACAGAGGTGAGCTATAAATGCAGAAATACTGTCATTTCACATCTGCATTGCAGTCCAATGTCAGATAATAATAATAAATAATCCTTGCATTTGATATAGCACCTTATCACGTCTTCGAGACGTCTCAAAGTGCTTCACAGAATATACTGTAAAGTGGAGTGACTATAATTTGTGGGTGAAACGCGACAGCGAAAGTTCATCTCTTCAGAGAGAATGTATCAAAGAGTTATATGAAGACCTGGCTACAGTATCCTGGGCAAAAGACCATTTTTACTCCTTTGTATCTCCATTACTCTTTAAGGATTTTGTTTCTGATGCAACATTGATCTGTTAGTAACAACCTGAGTTTTGCTGTTGTAATAATTTCTGAACGCAGGGGAAAAAGACAGATGCTGCTGCCCCGACACTTACAAAGGAAGTTGAGACCCTTGGAGAATCAAAATGGTAAGAGCCTATTTAATGAAGTTCGGAATCAATCCTAATATGGCCATCATTACTGCTTTGGTAGATCCTACCTGAGCAACTTCAGCTTTGCATGGATGATGATATTCCTAAATTGACGATGAGAAGCCATGTGATTATAGTGTATCTAGCCTCCCAAAAGGCATTTGGTTAAGTACCACACTAACAAAGATTAGCTATCGTGAGTCTGTTGTTTGAACAGTTTGAGCCAAAAAGATGCAGTGATTATGTGTGGGTGTTTTTAGTTAATTACATTGATGATATTGGAAGATAATCACAAGATAAATGCAATATCAGCAAAAATTGTCTTTCTCTCTATTGACCAATATTGTGCTGCAGTCTCTCCCTTCAGAGCAGTGAAGTGCCACTGGAGCAGCAAGTAATGACACAGGAGTTTCGAGCTACAGAAACTGGTAAAGGTGAGCAACTTGGAACTTATTTGTGTAGCAATGAGTTGAGACCAAGAATAGATAATTGTTTGGGGCTAAAGCCTTTCATGTTCCGACACAATCTTTCAAAACAAGTACACAAATCTGCAACTTTTTCTAAGTACATTTATATCTGTTCCTAGAGCTGAGTGCCAATCTATCGACATTATCCTCCGGGTCTGGCATCCTCCGAGTCCTCCGCTCCACCCTTGGCTGCCGTGCCTTCAGTCACTATGCTCCGAGGCTCTGGAACTCCCTTCCTCACTCCCTTTGTCTCGCTCCCTCCCCATTTTCAGGTCTCCACTGAAGACCTTTCTTTTCGACAGCGCCTTTGGTCACTTTCCTCCCCCTCCCCCTGGCTCGGTCCCGGGATCTGTTACTGTAAAGCGCTCTGAGACGCCGTCCGGCATGGGGGGCGCTATATAAATCCAAGCTGCTGTTGTATCCAAGAGCCAAATGTTTGAATCACAGCTTGCGTTGTAGGGTGTTTTCTGTTTTGAATTCCACACCCCACCAAAGCACATTGAATAGACAGTATAGCTCATAGTAATAGGGAATAAACAATCAAGCAAAATAGAAAAAAAATCTGAATATGTCCATGTTTCCTTGCTCCACACACCTCTGTTTCCCTAGCAGTAAGTAGGAACCCAGTTGTTAGTCGATTGGCGGATCGCTTTTCTGGGGGTAATAATTCCTTCAAAAAATTAATAACAATTTGGTTACTCAATCCACGACTGTTTGAGGGAAACTCCAGTGCACTACTGGCTGCCGCGTTTCATCCACAAAGAATACAATCAATTCACAACAGTATATTCTGTGAAGTGCTTTGAGACTTCTAGAAGATGTGATAAGGCGCTATATCAAAAGCAAGGATTATTATTATAACACCTCTGATGGTTCCAAGTGAGTTGGTCCAGTGACAAACCATAAGGACCAGGAGGGTACCAGTCTGTGTTTAGTTAATTGATGTGAGCAATACTAGCAACACAATTGCTGTTTGCTGTGTTAGGGAGATGAATATCAACCAGAATTTTTATTCCTTAATTTCTGTCACCTACTGGATGTGTGAAATGTGGACATCTGCTGAGAAGAAAACTGGTTTGAATTGTGAATTGAATATCTACAATAGCTTCTGACACTCGTCAGGTAAATTCATACATGAAGAATGCCCAAGTGGTTAATGATAACAGCATCTGTGGAGTTAAACCCAGCAGAGAATCCATGCCTGTAGCATTGGTTTTATCATTGTGGTTGCTTATTAGTAAATCACAAATTCTGTTTGATTATAATATTTACATTTTGAAATGTTGCTTTATGGATGGAAGCCAGGAAGAGAAAGTGACCATTGAGGTAGAACAAGAATTACAGTTTACATACATTACTGAAAATAGATAAACAAATCAGATCTATGTTCTTGGGCTTGTTTAGATTTGGTAACATTTTTAAATGTTGGTGTAACTAGTAGATTTTGTGTTTGTCTCCTTGTGCTAGATTTAACATTGGAACAAGATAGCTTAACCAACACGTCTCATCTTGAGAATGATCAGCCGGTGTCTGCAGCCTCTCAGGCAGTCTCAGTCAGCCCAACCGAACCCGAATATTGTGCAAATTATGAAGATGGAAATGAAGAACCTGAGATTGAGACGGAAACCAGCCACACAGAGGTGAGCTATAAACGCAGAAATACTGTCATTTCACATCTGCATCTGCATTGTTTTCCTATGTCAGATAATAATAATAAATAATCCTTGCATTTGATATAGCACCTTATCACGTCTTCGAGACGTCTCAAAGCGCTTCACAGAATACATTGTAAAGTGTAGTGACTATAATTTGTGGGTGAAACGCGACAGCTTTCTCTCTTCAGAGAGAATGTATCAAAGAGTTATATGAAGACCTGGCTACAGTATCCTGGGCAAAAAAACATTTTTACTCCTTTGTATCTCCATTACTCTTTAAGGATTTTGTTTCTAATGCAACATTGATCTGTTAGTAACAACCTGAGTTTTGCTGTTGTAATAATTTCTGAACACAGGGGAAAACGACAGATGCTGCTGCCCCGACACTTACAAAGGAAGTTGAGACCCTTGGAGAATTAAAATGGTAAGAACCTATTTAATAAAGTTCGGAATCAATCCTAGTATGGCCATCATTACTGCTTTGGTAGATCCTACCTGAGCAACTTCAACTTTGCATGGATGATGACATTACTAAATTGACGATGAGAAGCCATGTGATTATAGTGTATCTAGCTTCCCAAAAGGCATTTGGTTAAGTACCACACTAACAAAGATTAGCTATCGTGAGTCTGTTGTTTGAACACATTGAGCCAAAAAGATGCAGTGATTATTTGTGAGTGTTTTTAGTTAATTACATTGATGATATTGGAAGATAATCACAAGATAAATGCAATATCAGCAAAAATTGTCTTTCTCTCTATTGACCAATATTGTGCTGCAGTCTCTCCCCTCAGAGCAGTGAAGTGCCACTGGAGCAGCAAGTAATGACACAGAAGTCTCCAGCTACAGAAACTGGTAAAGGTGAGCAACTTGGAACTTATTCGGGAGTCCTGTGGCTTAGTGGTTAGAGCACTCGCCTCGCAAGCGAGAGGCCTGAGTTCGATTCCCGTCAGGGCAAAATGTTGGGCAAGTTTTCTTACTCCACACGCCTCTGTTTATCTAGCAGTAAGTAGGAACCTGGTTGTTAGTCGATTGGTGGATTGCTTTTTTGGGGGTAATAATTCCTTCAAAACAAAATAATAATAATAATGTTGGTCATATCCAACAGAGAATCCAATTGTGGTTGCTTATTAGTAAATCACAAATTCTATGTTTGATTATACTATTTACGTTTTGAAATGTTACTTCAAGGATGGGAACCAGGTAGAACAAGAATTACAGGTTTACTTAAATTACTGAAAATAGATAAACAAATCAGATATATATTCTTCAGCATGTTTATATTTGGGAACATGTTTAAAATTTGGTGTATACTAGTAGATTTTGTGTTTGTTTTCTCGTGTTAGACCTAAAATCTGAGCAAGACAGCTTATCAAACACGTCTCATCTTGAGACTGATCAGTCGGTGCCTGTGGCCTCTCAGGCTGTCTCAACCAGTCCAACTGAACCCGAATATTGTGAAAATAGACATGAAAAACCTGAGATTGAGGTGGAAACTAGCCACACAAAGGTGAGCTATAAGGGCAGAAATACTGTCATTTCACATCAGCATCTGCAATACATTCCTATGTCAGATGCGAGAAGGGTTGCTTCCAGGCCAACATTACTCGACTTAAATAGGCAAATACAAATGTTTGTAGTTGGCCTTGCCTGTTTCCACATGACTGCATACATTTATGAGCTAATGTAAGGATAATGAATGGATAGCTTGCAAAAAATATGATTAGCGTTGTTTTTGTTTCTTGCACTGATCTCAGTGGGTATACTTTGGCACTTTGTTTCCACCATCTGCCGTCTCCTGCAGTATGGAGGGCTGCTGAGCTCGTCATTGCCAATGTACCAGTGAACAGCTGACTTGGGGTCTTCTTGCCATGAGATGGCAAATGTTTTTCCCCCTTAGAAACTATGCTCTGCCAGAAGGCATCCGAATCTCTACCACCAGAGGGAGCCATGGAACTCTGGCCACAATATCAACACAAGTGTGGGAAAACGCATCAACACATCAGGCGATACTTTTAACCTGAAATGAGGCAGTATTTTAAAACCTACGCTCGTGAATTATTGATACCTTGCTGACTATACTTAATTTTTAAAAAAAATCAAAATGTCAATGCACCATATTAGTCGGATCTAAATATGTTACATTTGGAAAATATACAGTTCAAATAAGGCGGTTTTGTGTTTCCTTGATACCTGCCTGATGTGTTACTGAATATAAATACTCATGCGAACGTATGTAATTTTCTTTCATAACTTCTTCACTGTTGTTAAAATGTAGTTGTTTGAAAGTATGTCGGTAAAGTTTATAGATAGCCAATTTGCTTGCAAACCATATTTACTTAAGGACTGAAGAGAGAACAAGTGAAAAATGTTTCTCTGTATCACGTGTTGCTTGGTTTCATTGACAGATTTTGGACAGATTGATTGACGCTTGTGTGAACACTGATCCCGTTGATTTTAAGGTATAAATTCAATGCTTTTGTAAGCATTCAACCCTACAGTGAAACAAAGTGACTCTAAACATCCAACAATTGTACTTTTTTAATTATTTGTTGACATTCAAGATGCCACTGCCACCTTTCTATATGCATCAAACAAACCAAACTTTGCACTAAAACAGTTATTTCCCTATGGAGCTGATTTGTTGTGCTCACTGTCTGTGAAGCCATTCTTGAGTTCATTTAGTTTCGTTAGTTCCGTACAGAACTGTCCATCGTCTGCCCATCACTGAGATGAGGATAAAGCTAGCTATTATTGGAACTGGATATACACTAACAGCTCAAAGTATGATTTGTTCTTGGTCTGATTTGTGATGTCATGTACCTCTCTGCTGCCTTCTGCACTGTTATCCCATAATAATATAAGAATAATCCTTGCATTTGATATAGCGCATTATCATGTCTTTGGGACGTCTCAAAGCGCTTCACAGAATATACTGTAAGTGAATTGACTATATTTTTGTGGGCGAAACGCAGCAGCCAATTACACAGAGTAGTGTCCCAGAAACAGTTGTGGATTGAGTGAACAAATTATTTTTATTTATTTTGAAAGAATTATTACCTCCAGAAAAGCGATCTGCCAATCAACTAACAATCAGGTTCCTACTCTACTTACTGCTAACTAAACAGAGGCGTGTGGAGTAAGGAAACTTCCCCAACATTTGGCCCTGCCGGGAATTAAACCCGAGTCTTCTCGTTTGTGAGACGAGTGCTCTAACCACTAAACTACAGGACTCCATCCACTTCTGCACCTCTGGTTTCATTGCTACCAGCTAAATTGCTGCACTCCCATCTGCTCTAACCACTTTTTTTCCCCAATAGAACATAAAATTGTGGAAGAACAATTTATTTAAAACGTCCAAAACAATGACCCTACGGACTCTCAAATATGACCGGTACATCCAACTTTGTGCCTGCAGGAAATACCTGAATGTATTACTTGTTAACAATGGCTTGAAGCCGACCAATATAAAACTTATTTAATTATATTTTCTACAAGAATAGTTTTCAAAATTTTAGGAAAATTTTAACACATTTATTTGCTTGAGTAGACATTCCTGTTATTGGTCTAAATTCTCCTCTTTCTGCAGGAGAGCTTCAAAAGGTTAGAGGTAGAGAGGAACGCCCTAATGCAGAACATTGAAAATCTGAATGACCGATGCAAACAAACTGAGAATAAAAGCCACCTCGAGATCAAAGCATGGAAGCAAAGAATCCGAGAGAAAGAGAGGCAGTGTCAAGTACGTATCTTACATTCACAGTTATTTGTAGTTATTCAAATATAGGATAGTTGAATACGGCTATTGAACATTCTTCCCCTCTTATAACTTCTTTTCTGGAAGCATTTGCTGGGTTGCAGTTAAATGAACATCAGACTTTTTTTTCTATCTTACCCATGTGACTATTCATATAACATAATAATAATCCTTGCATTTGATATAGCACCTTATCACGTTGATGAGATGTCTCAAAGTGCTTCACAGAATATACTGTAAAGTGAATCGACTGCATATTTTGTGAGCAAAACTCAGCAACCAATTGTGCACAGCAGTGTCCCACAAATAGTCATGGACTGAGTGACCAAATTGCTCTTATGTAAACCCAGATAATGAGACATGGCAGCTTCTTCAGCAGGACACTCAGAACTGATCATCATCATCCTCATCCTGTCTTCATCCAATATTTGTGTAAAGGCACTTGCAGCAACAACAACAAAATTACATTTGTAAAGCACCCTTCACCTTGGGAGGATGTCCCAAGTCGCTGGACAGACAGTTACGGACCCGAGCTGAGGGCCGGGGTGAGGGGAAGCAGGCAGATCGAAAGCACGATCAAAGAGGAGGGTCTTGAAGGTGGCAAGGGAGGGGGTAAGATGTAGGGTCTGCGGGATGGAGTTCCAGAGGGTAGGTGCAGAGTGGCGGAAGGCCTGCCTGCCGATAGTGGGGCGAGCAAGGTGAGGGACGTTAAGCAGGCCGGAGCTCGCTGAGCGGAGGGAGCGAACAGGGTGGCAGGAGGTTAGGAGGCCGGAGAGGTAGGGGGGAACAAGACCAAGAGGGTTTTGAAGGTGAGGACCAAGATCTTGAACTGTATCCTCTGTGTGATGGGAAACCAGTGGAGTTGGGCAAGGATGGGGGTGATAGGGTCGTGGAGCCTAGTGGGGGAGAGCACCCGAGCTGCAGAGATGTAATCTGAAGAGCGGTATATGTAATAATCCTAAATCATTATTTTTCCTGCCTATTTTTAATCCCTATTCTGAAGGCATTTTTGACTTTAAATATTTAGTGCTGTTGTCATTTAATCAGATAGGGGGCAATCATTTATAAAGTATTTATTAAGAGTTGCCATTGGCAGTGAGATATTTCTCCACTCTAGATACCCAGTGTCAACCAACTTTAGTTCAGATGCAGCACAGCTAATTGCAGCATAAATAGCTTCATATTGTGCTTTAATCTGCTCAGCTCCAACATTGCACCTTAACAGTGTGTAGAAATGTTTCAGAAATTCTTCCATAGTTAGATCATTTATTATATATACAAGTTCTATTAGGTTCTGGCATCTCAGATGTAAATTGCTTTTACTTTGTTTAAATAGTTACAACTTTCCACCTGTATTTTCAGAGCCTGCAGCAAGAATTTGTCAGCCTAAACCAGCAACTAAAAGAGGAATTCCGCAGGATGGCCCAGGAGCAGGAAGACCATCAGACACAACTGCTGAAAGTCAAAGACCAAATCTGTGGAAAAAAATCTGAACTTGAGAGGTACTCAAGTGCTTATAATGGCATGACTTGCTGGATTTCCAACACAATTTGACTAATCGCAATATACTACAGATGCTGGAAATCTGAAAACAAAAACAGAAGTTGCTGGGGAAGTCGTGTTCCCCGCAACTTCTGTTTTTGTTTTCAAAATCTGGCTAATGGTCAATTTCAGGCCATTGAACCACAGGGATGTAGTTTGAATGGAAAAGCAATTCTAGAAACTTCAGCAGAATTGTTTGTCTAGCTGGCAAAGTCCTAGAAAACAACTACAGGCAAGCCACTTTTCCTTCATTTTTTTCTGCAATTATTGCATTTTATATAATTCACAGCAGAAATAAAATACTAAGTCACACATAAGATTTATACTAAAAGTACCCATGTAAATGATTTTGATTGCTGTGTTAGCCTTTCACCATCATAAACAGCAGCCAAATAATATATTTTTAGGTGTTTTCAAAGTTTAATTAAGTACGAGGGTCAAAGATTCAGCTGGACAATTTGGTTGCCCAAAGAGAAACCTGTACAATAATGAGGTGAAAGGTGTTTCTGCCTTCTACAGCTAGGATACCATGGGGAGTGCTACTCTGAAGTACTGTCTTAGCGACCACAAAGAAGAAAATGATCAGGATTTGAAAGAGAAAAATATGCATTGCTCAGTCCTGTTTGCCAACATTTTTTTACACTCCTACACTATCCACTTCTTTGTTTTTTTATCTTTGCCTCAAAAATGAACTGTGAGTGTATTGGATCTCATTTACTGACTACAAAAAGTGGAGGGAAATATATATTTTTCATTTCCAATTTCATATCTTAGCATATTGCCAGGAGAACCTATCTAAACTATAGAAAATGTCTTGACAAGCTGTGGGAAATTGCCGACAGGAAGAGTAAGTGTTAATGCACCGATATTTTTTTCCCCCCAAAAAACAATAAAAATGCTGCAATTAATTTTTCAACATAGATAATAAGTAGCCAGTTGCATTAATACTGTGTATTTGCTTTTAATGGTAATTCCTTATAACAAGACTTCCTGGAGGAGTTTGTGCCCATTGATGCAATCTACAATATGTATAGCTCTCCTGACTGTTAACCACAGTATTTATTCATATTTTTCATGATGTTTGTTATTGATTTCATTTGAGATTTTTTTTCTAACAAAGTTAGCACTAAATGCTTAAGAAAATGGCTCCATCTCAGTTAGACCATTACACTTCTCGAAAGAGTGTACAAGAATAATCCGCGTGTGTGTGTGTTTACACACAGTGCTGCAGCTAGCCTTGGTTACATGCTATATGCTATCCAAGTTTAATTTACGGTTAACTAAAAATCAGGACTTCTCCAAGTATACAAATGGTATGTTTTTTCCCCTTCCGCTCAGTCCGTCCAAATTTGTTTCTGCATCAGCACTTTATACCATGTGCTGCTCTTGTATTAGTTGAGATGGTGGGAGAACAGTAAGAGTAGGTTGGAAAATATATCAGTTCTGTCAGGGACTGTTCATTGTCTCAAACAGGGCTGCCTGGGATAAAGGAGTATAATAATAATATTTGGTATAGTGCTTTTCACATCAAGATAATAATAATAATAATAATCCTTGCATTTGATATAGCGCTTTTCACGTTGGGAGGACGTCCCAAAGCGCTTCACAGAACACACTGTAAAGTGAATTGACTGTATATTTGTGGGCGAACGCGGCAGCCAATTGCGCACAGCAATGGTGACACCTCAAAGCATATACTATAAAGTGTAGTGGCTGTGTATTTTGCAGGTAAATTTGGCAGCCAATTTCCAAACAGCAGTGCCTTACAAATAGCCATGAACAATTTTATTTGGAGGATTGTTTGCCAGAACACAGAGAGAAACTCCCTTCAGTTTTCAAATAGAGCCATGGGATCTTTAACATCTACCTGAACAGGCAGATGGCTTCCTGGTTTAATGTCTTCATCTGAAAGAAAGCATCTCCATCAATGCAACACACCCCCAACACTACACTGGGGTGTCAGGCTAGGCTCGGAGTCCTGACCTGGGGCTTGGACCCACAATTATCTGACTCCCAGAGACAAGATTGTTACTAACAGAACTCAGCTGAAATCAGGAAAGGAAGTATCAACATGGAGACTTTTATGTAAATACTTTGAAAAATTCTGTGATCTGATTAGATCTCTTAATGAAGGTATCAAATAAGGCGTCGTCACTGGAGCATTCTTTTCATCTCTCAGGAATTAATGGACCTGTGAGAAATATTTTGGAAGTTTCACTTTCGTTGAGCAATTCAGATATACTTTTATGTGTCCAATGCCTTCACGGAAGCCTTTATATTGTTTTTTTTTGAAGATGCATCAAGTCGAATATTGACAAGGATAAAGAGATCATGAAGGTTAAAAGGGAATTACAGCAGGAGAGGTGAGAGCTGTACTTTATAACCCAAATAAAATGTACATTTATTATCTGGACATTTTTAGTTCTTCCACAAGTCTCCCTGAGTGATTTCACTCAAGGTAAATTTATTTGTTTACAATTAACTTCTGGAGCAATTTAATCTTCTCGGCTAACAGTGATCCCAGAATAATTGAAAGATCTCACCAGTAGCATGTGTTTCCATTGTGAGAAGTGCCTTAAGAACATTGTCCTTAAGTCCATTATTACTGAACTTAATGAGTAAGGGAAGTCTGTCATTATCAGACCCCTCCATAAGAAACCCTACCTTGACCCCCACAGACGCTCATTATCGCCAAACTGACTTTTCTTGCCAAAATATTGGAATGATTCCATCTCTCTCACCATTCACTTAAAAGGAAATTACAGCCTGATGTCCAGTTTCTGTCCTGCCCACATCACTAATGCCGCTGTGACCTGGTCTTCCTGTATATCAACCTGTCGCTCCCTCCGCTCAGCGGGCTCTGGCCTGCTCTGGTTCCTCTCCCAGCCCGCTCCACCATCAGCGGCCGGACCTTAAGCTTTTCTGCCCCCGCTCAATGAAACTCCATCCCACATTCCCTTCGCCTTTACTCCCTTCCTGGCCTCCTTCAAGGCACTTCTCAAAACCCTCCTCTTCCACTGAGCCTCCTACCACCCTCCTACCCTACCTGGCCTCCATCTTCCCCGATCTCGACCCCCAGCTCGGATCCAAATCCCTGACTGTCCAGCATCTTGGGACGTCCTCCTGACGTGAAAGATACTATACAAATGTAATTTTGTATTGTATTGCCCCTCTGCTGCCTTTCACACTGTTAATCCATTCATCCACCTCTGCATTACTCTCCTGGTTCCACTACTTCCAGCTCAATGTCTTCACTCTCTCTGCTCTATCCGCTTCTCTTCCCCTTTCATGATTATGATGTACACCATCACTCCTACCATTAGTCTTCTTCTTTTCCTTATCTATATGAAGTTCAGTGGCATCATCTGCAAACATGGAGTCCACATGTACACCACTGGAACCAAGTCCTGCTGTCCTGGCTGAGCTTCAATTTCAGTTGAATATAAATTAAACCAAATCCATCCGTTTGGCTTCCACCTGGTCAGCACCTGGTTGCTTACAGCTCTGTCCTTATCAACCTCCCCACTTGCTCAGGCCATTACACATCTTTGCAGTTTATTTGGCCCTCTCTTTTAAATAATAAAACTTGTTCTTGACCAAGACTGCTTTTCAAAGCTTGAGCTCCCTACTGCTACGAGAGCTCAGATCAATGTAATTGTGCGAGTTGGAAGATAGTATGAGCCAAAAGAGGTGTTTAATTGTTTTGCAGGTGCAAACACATTTAGAAGGACTTTTTTTTATATAAAGAATCCTTTATAAAGATTGATGTTTCAGGTCTTGCATCAGGGCTGAAACAATGGACTGCAGAAATGTTAATAATAATCCTTGCATTTGATATAGCACCTTATCACATCTTCGAGACGCCTCAAAGCGCTTCACAGAATATACTGTAAATTGATTTGACTGTATTTTGGGGCGAAATGCATGGAAAAAGAGGACATATTGAGAAAAAAGGCATTAAGACGACTTTTTTCAAAATATTTTACAGATACTGCTGTAGAGTTTGGATGAGGGTTAGATCCCATAATCCCTAAACTATTATTTTCTTTGAGATGCTGATTGACATGCTCTCGATTTATAACATTCATTGTTTTTGCTTCATGTTCTTAATTTATTCCTGTGTAAATGTAATGTTTGTTACATTTTACAATGGAATGTACCGTAGGGGGATTTCTTCCAAAACGGAAGGTATTAAATTCCAGTACAGCAGATTTATTGATGGCTCTATCAGATTATATATCCTTTACTTCGTATTATAAGATAATAACAATCCTTGCATTTGATATAGCGCCTTATCACGTCTTTGAGACGTCTCAAAGTGCTTCACAGAATCTAATGTAAAGTGAATTGACTGTATATTTTGTGGATGAAAGGCCCACAATTATGATCCACGTGCAGATTTGTAGCAGGCAGCACTGAGCATTTTCTGTCATTTTTACAGAGAGCGATGGCTCCGGGAAAAACTACAATTGGAGGAAGAGCTCGCAAACATACAACAAACTGAATTAGAAACCCTAAGAAAAGCCATTAATCAGGAGGTGAGACATCCACAGTCCGATTCTTACAGATTTGTTGATGTTTACAAACATTGATGTCAGAAATGGTTTAATTTTTAATGCCTTACTATTGAAATAATTGCAAACTTGTGGAGTAGAGAACTGTCCTGGAGCATTAGTCATCACCTTCAGGATTAGGAGTGAGGATGAATATTCTGTGGCAATACTTTCTTTCCTTATCCCGGTACCAATTAGGACTAAGTCTTATTCCAGCCTCTATCCACTGTGTGGAATGCAGATCAAAAGGAAATTAGCTATTTGGTTCTGTAGGTGGACTTCATAACAAATCTTTGGGGTGAAGCTCCTTTCCTGTTGCCTCAAACAAATAAAGGTCTTCTGTCATGAAGCACACCCGACAAGTTGTTATTACAACAACAACTTGAATTTATATAGAGCCCCTCATGCAGGGTGGCGTCCCAGAGTGCTTGACAGTGGCTGAGCCTGACTCAAGAGCGGGGAGGTGACCATAGGCACGGTTTTAAGAGGAAGGTGTTCAGGCGCAATCTGAAGATGGGGATGGAAGGGGCAGGGCGGAGGCATAGAAGAAGAGTGTTCGGGGCATAGTGGCTGACATGCAGGAAGCCAGAGCCAGTCAAGCAGAGGTAGTGGGTTGGGGAGTTAGCAGGTCAGAGGGGTAGGGAGGTGCCAGGGCATGAAGGATTTGAAAACAAGTGTGAAGATCTTGAAATTGGTATTACTTATATTTGCATTATTTTGTTTAAGATTTATAGTTTTGGGCATTCCTTTTAAAAATGACCTTCATGTCACTTAACTTTCCAAATATTAGTGTTTTATTAGGACAGATTACTTAGTACATTAACCAGAAAGCTTTCAAGTTACTTTAGAAGATCAAATACAAGTTTTAATGAAAATAATGAATATATGATACTTACTGCCTATGCAACAGTAGAAAAGATGGAACGGTATAGATGGATTTGTTGTACAGTAGAAATTGTTTTGAACAACAACCATTAAAAATGTCCTTTGCTGACATGTTATTACAACAGAACAACTGTACAAATTAAAGTTAGACCTTAATGGATTCTGATGATACTTTTCTGTTTTAAATAGGCCACTTAAACATTCTGAAAATGTATCACCAAGAAATTCTTGTTCTATGCAAACAAATAAATCTTGATGGCAGAGCCTTAATTTTCAAATGGCTGTAAAACTATTTACTGCTTTTTTCACGCTTTTTTCACGCTTATTGGATTGAATAACAAATAATAACCACTTAGCTCAACCAAATGTACTTTGGAAATGTGTTGTTTAGTAAGCCAGTCTTCAACTAAATCTTAAATGATTGTTTCTGTAACAGGTTTTCTTGCTGGAGATGCATAGAGATTTCTTTGTCTGTAACTTGGAGAGTGCCTTGGTGGAGACTGAACAACAGTTAACCAACCTCAAGGATCATATTAAAGGGTATTTTATTTTGATTAAGTTAATAGAAAAAATATTTATCTTCTCACTTGTATAACGCAGTCTTATAACATGCTTTGCCCAGAATTCCAAAGTCCATATTCTCTTCTGCATCAGGATCCGCCCATCATGACTATTCTCACCAGGCTCCACTGATTCCCTGGTCTCCATTGAATTATTATTGTTATCGATTTCAAGATCCTTTTGTGCTCGTTTTTCGTCCCTCCCTAACTCTGCAAGCTCCATTCCTGCAATTCAAGCTTAATGCATATACTTCTCCACATATATCCCATTAGTCGCAAGCTTTCAGCAACTGTGCTCTGTACTTGGGAACTCTCTCTCAAATTTCCTTTGCCTTGTTTCAGCTCTTTCTGCCTTAAATGTAAAGGTTGCGTAATTTATCAAGTGTTCACTTTATTATGCAAAATACGATTTGATTATCAAAAGGCCCCCGGAGAACAGGCACAATATTTATGCTCAATTACAATAGATACTGTTTGAAAATATAACTCAAAAGAAGAGATTGTTACCTTGTATAAAAATTGTTATGTTAAAAATCTGAAATAAAAATAATGCTAAGATTATCTTTCTCTTTGGCTTCTGGTCGACCTGCTGTACAAATGCAGCATTTCCTCCATTTCAGATTTTTAACATTTGCCATTTTTCTTACCTGATGTACCTACGTATGGTGTCTTGTGAATTTGCAGGCAGACTGTTGTCCCACCACTAATCCAGGGAGCTCTGAACAAGTGGGAAGGTGTTGCCACTGATCTCAGAAACAAGATTGACTATACTACGGTAGGTCATTCTCTTATTTTGGGGAGAGGGGGCACAAGAAGAAAAGTGAATTTCATTGATTTTAGAGTATCGCAAAACAGTTCCAAATTCAAATTTTAAAAAACTGAATATCTTGTGTCGGTCACAGATTTATTTGTGAAAATGTAAAATTCATCCCCAATCCAAGACTGTTTGCCATTTTATGGACTCCTAACTACCACATTATAATAGGGCTCTACTGTATTATTTGGTATTATATCCCCATATGTTTTGGTGTCTTAGAATGCTTTGCCTACAGTTTTGATTATGTTGTCCAGATTTCTAGGACCCACAAATTTCAAAAGACTGACCCTCCCGACTGGTGATGTATCTGCTTAACTATGCAAAGTATCTGTTCAGTGTAAAACCAGACAAGAAAGGTTCCAGGTTTGATCCCGTGCGTGCTAATTTATCTACTCTTTGCCAGGGTGCCAGTAGAGGTGCAAATATTGGTCTCAGCAACCCTAGGAAATAGGTCAGGGATGTCACTTCTAATTGCTTTGAACCATTTGGGGAAGTGCTTGTATATTGGCGTTATGTGACGACAAACCAGTGATAGTGTAGCTGACATTTCTTTCCCGAAACCAGGGGCATCCATAGCTGCTTCTGCTACTGCAGAACACCTATGGATAAATAATATATTTTCTGTTTATATTAATAAAACTGTTATTAAATACTATATTTATCTTTTTGCACTTTTTAGAAAGAGTTCAATAATCATATATATATGATTAAAAATGGAGCCAAACTCCAGAGTCTTCCTCCACTGAACAATCCTGAACAACCGTATCCTCTTTCTCTGCATGTCATGGTAAGATGGCTATTTTCTTTGTACAATAGTCTGGAGAAAAATCTAATACTGTAGAGCTAATTCAAATATGGTTTCACGTGGAACATTAATAAACTGTGCATCTTACACTATTTTGAATGGATCTTTACAGGTTAACCAGAAAGTTTAAATTGTAAAAGTAGGAAAAAGAAAATGAAAAGCAGTTGTGAATGGAAAAATGAGAGAATTGAAGATCTGTAACGTGTGGCCGTAAATGTAATGGAGTGATGAGGAAAGAGAATCATGGGCAGATCTCGCTTTGTCTGGTGAAACTTGACACTTATTTTTAACAAAATAATATTAACATCTTACCCTGAAACCATGTTAAACAAGAATGTACCCCAAATCTTTGGGGGGAGATGGATATCTGTATTGTTAGCTGAAGTTAAATGGTTGGCGTCATCTGCTTGGTAACTTGAGTACCTCCAAGAGTGCGGATTTGTCCCTGATGTGACTGGGTTTCATCAGTGTTGATGCCAATTTGGAACGGGATGGTTGAACCTCAAAGAAAATGAAATAGCCAGTCTCATTTTCGGCACAGTTACAAGATGCAGGAATTTGAGTAATTTAGAGAAGGCGGGCAGACTGTAATAATGGCCAACGTACTTGCAGATGGAGTCAATAATATTTTTGAGGCCATATTAGTATTAAATAAACAAGAACCTGTTAAAGAACTATTAAACAAGAAATCACAAGCATTGGAAATGTCTGCTCAAGTCACAGCACAGGTTTTTAAAAATATGCATTTTAAACATTAATATGAATTTGTAGGTATTTACATTTGGAGACTTCCTGCATAGTTATTGTTGTTGCCCGTCTTCAGATCGCATCTGAAAACCTTCCTGTTTAGCCCTGCGTACGGTCACCTCCCCTCTCTTCCTGGCTCGACATCGAGCTCTGCTGCTGCTGTGAGATGCTATCCACGTGAAGTGCGTTGTATAAATAGCAGTGTTCTTATTTATTTATGGCCTGAACACTCATTCACATTAGAGTTTAGCCATCTTAAACAATTCATCTCTTTTTTTTACACACACCTAAATGTGTCCACACTTGAGAGCCAGATATGTAAGTTTAGCAGCAGTGTAACATTTGAAATAATTGATTTTAAACTCTAGCCCATTATAGTGCTTCTGCTCTTCCTTGGCTGTTAGCACCTAACACAACCCGAGGCCCTCTTGGTTTTCACGATACAATAGCACACCACTTGCTCCATTTACCTATTAAAACATAAATCAAACTTGGATTCAGGATCTTAATGACAAGTATCAAAAGAGCCTCATAGCATTGAAAATCATTCAGTGCATATCTACAGCTTACCTTTGATTGTGTGTATCTATTTGCAGAAATCTGGGAACCAAGCGAATGTTCTGCATTCACTAGGATCACAACCTTCCTTACAGGCATACACTGGAAGCCCAATTCCTGTCATGCCCAGTTCCTTGCGAGGTTACAACAATAGGTATGTTCACAACTAATTCCAGATTTGTGTTTAGTCCTTATTTCTAATGAAATTGCTACCATTGTTGTTGAGCACGTATATTGATGCTAGGAATAAGTAGTGAATTATTATTATAAGTAGTATATTATTATTATTATTATGAATTGTTTCGGTTTCAGGTTAGAATTGAACAGTTTCATTGATCAAGTACAAACTGGACAGGAGTTATGGACGGGGTTTGGGAAACAAAAATCCTCTGAGACACGTGTGCAGCTGCAGGTAGTAGTAGAGTGCCGCTCTGTTATGTCTCACCTTGTTTCAAAGTTTATAATGCAAATGGCATGTAGACCCCATTTACTGTGGATGTGCCCAGTTGGCTGGCTCAGTTCCTGCACTAAAATTGACTAGCTGCTGTGTTGGTCTAAATATTAATGTAAATTTATCAGTGTATGATGTTTATGTCAATATCAAATAGCTTGGTATGACCCAGGAATCGAAACTGAAATGTCTTCGATCTGTTTGAACTATTCGCCCACAAAATATACGGTCAGTTCACTTCACAGTATATTCTGTGAAGAGCATTGAGACGTCTCGAAGATATGATAGATGCTATATCAAAATGCAAGGATTATTATTGTTATCTTATTATTCCTTGGATGGACTCACTGAACCATTGTGGCAGCTTCAAACCATGTTAATTAATGTTGGACTCTTTAACTCACAGAGTACTGAAGAGGACCCCTGTGTCATCTGCCACGAGGAGCTTGTTCCATCAGAAGATTGCTACATGCTGGAGTGTAAACATGTTTTCCACAGAAAGGTGGGTGTCTGTCTCTCAAAGCTACTTTGTTGTATGGTCACTGTGGTCTTGAGCATTGATTGTTACTTGAAGCAGAGCATAGAGCGCTTATAATCTACATCTAAATTGTGCTATACCTGACCTAAAATTGTAATGTATTGAATTTCCTAGTGCTACTGTGCTTCATCAAAAGGTATGTACAGAAATATTTTTGAGTACATCTGAAAAGTCTTGGAAGTTTTACAGTAACTGTTCTCATCAACATTCACTACCTAATTAAGCACTGTGGCAGAACTTAGCCTAGAATACTTTGACTCCAGTAATCACTGGTTGAGCAGCTTTGTTTTTTGACACATTTCATTGCCACTCATTCATTTCTTGCCCTAGTTAGCATTGCAATTACACTTTAGCAGTTTTTCGTTTTCTTATTTGGACTGTATCATTTTTCATTACAGTGTATTGACCACTGGCTGAAGGAACAGAGTACATGTCCAATTTGTAGAATTCTTGTACTAAAGCCAGAGGACTACCCACAGCTGTCCAAAAATTGAGATGCTTCCTATCAGTAACTCTGGCAAAATCAGCTGCTTACCATTCCAACAAGTGAAGATTTATTGGAAAGATTTTGAATACTCGTTTAAAAGAAAGAAACCAAAGAGTCTTATTCATGCAACCTCATGTCTGAAAAGTATTAGTATTATCTTTGTTTAACGTGTTCATTCTGAAGTTCCCTTGATGGGCTACTGGGTAAAGAAAGACAAGCCAGACAGACCAGAAAGTTTGTCGTGATCAAATCCTGGTCTGTGCTGAGTTAGTTCATCTCAGCCAGAATAACTGTTGGGCTATCACAATCCGGTTCGGTGCCTGTTTTAAGAGAGGGTTGAAGGGGGTCGTCGTTAAAATCGTGACGGGTTCCTGCTTTTGATAACTCTTCAGTGACTTCTGTTTGGGTGAGAAGAGGAAATGGCTTGGCATTGCTGCCCTTCCTCATATCTAAACAACTCATAGCATTCGCTGTCAAGATTCATACATGAAGAATGGTTATTTTGACGATGTGTTGGAGGGTGCCTAACTAATATTCCAGCAAAGAATCCAGCTCTTCAGGAGATGAAAATGAAGGGAGAAAAAATGGCAGAAAACAAAATTAATTTTTTTTACATTTTACCCTTTTGAGATCTCCAATATCTTTTACTGTTTGTGAAAATCTGGGTAAATATATTTCTGATGTTAAAAGGTTAAATAAAAAAATAAGAAAATAAAACATGTTTTATGTGCTGGCTTCCTAAATATATTCCATTACTTTGCTACAGAAATGTTACTTATTGCAGCTTTCTCTAAATCCAGAAGTCGATGAAAATTACTTTCAAACAAAACATTATCTTCATTTATTCATAAATTTATAAATTTATTCATGAATTTGCAAAGTCTATGGTGATGATACATAATCATATACTATACAGATGATAAAGGCCCTCTTCAGAACCAAAACATTACTCTTTTTGTGGGTGGAATATCAATCTTGGGAAATAACAATCATATAATATGTTCCATTTCTGATTTAACACATGGAGGTTATAAGACATGCTGTTCAAGATTGCCCCCAATGTTTTACAAATCAAGTGGTTAAAAGAATTTGTGCTTCTCATATCCATGTCAGTTAGAAAGGAAATGGGGAAATGAGAGATTTGAACAAAACAAAAGAGGTCTTTAGAGAGGTAGCGATTAATCTCTTAAGGCATTTTTCTACTGAAGGTACAACCTATTTCTGAGTCATTCTACAGTGGTCAGTGAGTAAACTATTCAATGATGGAATATATCACAGCCAAACCAACTCCAGCAGGAATTGCTGAACAGTAATCCAGAATGGATATCTTGACACATTAGTGTCTTGAGTCATATTATTGAAGTTGGTGAGAAAGCTGATGAAAATAGTTCTCAGGTCAGAGTAGAGACTTTATTTTAAAACCCAGTAGTAGCACTTCTCATCACATGACCTCAGGTCACAAAGCATCAATGTTACCAACATCTGATATAAATAGAATAGCCATTTGGGGAGTGGTAGGAAATGTAGAAATAATTAAACTCAAGCAATTTGTTCATCATCCTGTGAATTGTTTTTGCATATCCTGTCATTTTCTGTCAATTAATGTTTATTCTTAGGGTTGCAAAGTAGCCTCTCGGGTTTTCCTGACAGCAGCTACTCCTGAATATAGATACCTAAATTAGTTATAGCCCTTGTAGAAAACCAATACAGTGAAATAAATATCATGGATATAGAGTCATTTGTTCCACTTTATTTAATATTTCAAGCTCCTGTAACTCCATTAGATCTAAACTGCAGATGTGACTAATAATGGCCAACCTTCATTTGACCTATTAAGGCACAGCTACATATGGAAAGCTTTGGAAAGTGAGATTTGCTTGTAGTTAGTTGCCACAGACACTTACGTGAACAAGGTCTATTTTGCCCCAGAACATCTACCCATGCAATCTGCTGGCATATTATATGGCAAATTTCTTTGTCATGAAATCTGTCTGTTGAAGCAGTTCTCAAAGGTCACCAATAAGCACAATTTGTTTTCCTTTGGATCTGATTATATTTTATAATGCTGTAAAGTGCCGGTAACTGGAGACAGCAGATTGTTACCCTAGTTACCCTTTGTTTGAGAGGCAAAGATGTATCTTAAGTGTACACTGTTAAAGCACTGGTATGATTGACTCATTAAGAAAATGGTCCGCTTCAGTTAAGGTAATGAGATTACAACAACAACAACAAGATTCCATTTATTGAGCGCCTTTCACGTCGGGAGGACGTCCTAAGGCGCTGTACAGTTGGGTCAGGACCCGAGCAGGGGGGAAATGGTCAGGGTGAGGGGAGGGAAGGGAGGGAGCGAGGAGGGGGTAGAGAGTCGAGAGGGGAGCTGAAGGCACGGTCAAAGAGAAAGGTCTTGAGACCGGCCTTGAAGGAGGAAAGGGAGGAGGCGGCGAAGGCACTGGGGGATAGAGTTTCAGAGCCTAGGGGCTGAGAGGCTGAAGGCTCGGCCACCGATAGTAGAGCGGTTGGGGCGGGGGATGTGGAGCAGACCGGAGCCAGAGGAATGGAGGGTACGGGCGGGTAGGTAGGGGGATAGTAGATCGGAGAGGTAGGAGGGAGCAAGGCCGTGAATGGCCTTGTAGGTGAGGGTGAGGATCTTGAATTCGAATTAGGGCCAATTAGTATTAACCTGAAGAGTATTAAAAGTATTTTGTGCCGTGTGAATCAAGACAGAACTATGATAGTTATTTATAGAAATAAATAGTGTAGTTGACTACAGTATTTGGTTTCTTCACCAACTTACATATCAATTCTTGTTTGTTAATTTGGTTTGTTAGTTTGTGTGTCAGCTAATGTCAGTTGGTTGCACTCTCACCTCAGAGTCAGAAAACAACAACAAAATTACACTTATAGAGCACCTTTTAAGTCGGGAGGACTTCCCAAGGCGCTGGACAGTCAGGGGGGTGGGATAGGGGTGAGGAAAGGCAGAGAGGTGGGAGGGCGAACAAAGGCACGATCGAAGAGGAGGCTCTTGAGACCGGCCTTGAAAGGCAAGGGAGGAAGCGAGGCGAAGGCACTGTGGGATGGAGTTCCAGAGTGTGGGGGCAGAGAGGCTGAAAGCCCGGCCACCGATGGTAGGGTAGGTCAGGTGGGAGACATGGAGCAGACCGGAGCCCGCTGAACGGAGGTTAGGGAGGGGGCAAGGCCATGGATAGCCTTGAAAGTGAGGATGAGGATCTTGAATTCGATCCTCTGAGGGATGGGGAGTGATGGGGTCATAGAGCTTGGTGCGTGAGAGTACACGAGCTGCAGAGTTTCGGGAGATCTACAGCTTGCGAAGGGAAGAGTTGGGAAAGCCGATGAGGAGGGAGTTTCCATAATCGAGCCTTGATGTGACAAATGTGTGGGTGCAGGTTTCGGCAGCCTGAGGGGTGAGGCAGTGGCGGAGTCCGGCAATGTTGCGGAGGCGGTGGTAGGCAATTCCGACGTGGATGTGGGGGAGAAAGGACAGTTCAGAGACAAACAAGACACCCAGGTTCCTGACTGGCTTAGTGAGGTTGAGTGTGCAGTCTCGGAGGCTGATGCTGCCAGCGCCTGAGGTGCGGAGGCGCTGGCACAAGCCAATCAGGAGGGCCTTGGTCTTACTGATGTTGAGTTGGAGAAAGTTGTCCCTCGTCCAGGACTTGGATGTCGGACAGGCAGACGGTCAGGACACCAGTAGTCCTGGAGTTGAGGGTGGAGGTAGAGAGATAGAGTTCGGTGTCATCCGCATACATGTGGAAATTTACCCCATGTCTGCAGATGATGTCAGGATTAACCTGGAGTAGAAGGACGATTTGGCCGAGGCGAGAGTGGAGCTGTAGGTTTTGATGTGGACCAACCAGATATGCCGGCGGACGGTTAGGCCGTATTTGAGCCAAGTGCGTTTGGCAGCCCGCAACTGGCCCTTGAGTGAGCGGAGGTGGCTGGTGAACCAGGGTGAGGATCGGGAATAGGAGGTAGTTCGGGAGCTGAGGGGGGTAAGGGCGTTGAGTGTGGTGGAGAGGGTGCTGTGGAGGAGAGTAAACGCGGAGGTTGGGTTGGTGCGGGAGGTGGGACAGAGGGGGAGGAGTTCAGAGGACTCCAGGGCAGCGGAGAGGGATTGCGGGGAGATCTTCTTCCACGGGCAGTAGCAGATCGTGGTAGGTTTGGAGGCAGTGGGGAGAGGGATATAGGAGTTGAGGGAGATGAAATGGTGGTCAGCGATGGCCTTATCGGTGATGGTGACATCCGAGATGCTGAGGCCCCGGGTGATCACCAGGTTGAGCGGGCCTGTGTAATCAAGCCCCACGGATCTTGGAACTAAGATGACACGCCAGTCCACTGCTGGGGACGTGCTGCATTTTTGGAAGTGCTGACTTTCGGATAAGATGTAAAACTGAGGCCCAGTCTGCCTGTTCAGATGGATGTTAAAGATCCTGTAGCACTTTCGAAAATAAAAGAGTTTCTCTTGGTGTCCTCCCAACAATCCACCAAACAAAATTGGTCATCTACTTCACGGCTGTGCGTGGGATATTGTGCAAATTGACTGCCCCGTTCGCCCACAAAACAGAGTCACTCCATTTTACAGTAAATCCTGTGAAGCGATTTGGGACATACTCTCAAAGTGAAAGGAGTTGCCAAGTATAAGAATTATTGAATTAAATTACAATTAATTTAGTAAAAACAAAATGAAGATGATGGCATTAGCAAAGTCTGAAAACTTGCAGTGCGCTCACAAGTGTGATTCTCTATAAAAGACGTCGGGAAGACGTGAAAAGCGCTATATCAAATGCAAGGATTATTATTATTATTATAAAAATGGCTAAATCAGTTGTTGCTGTTGTTAAGACATCCAGCCATTAACAACGTAGCTTTCACCAGCAGAGGGACACCATTCCACACCTGGTTCCATAACAATAAATTGGTTGCCTTTGTTATAAACATGTTAAGCAGAAGGCATGTTTCCATACAAGGTATATTTCCGTGACCAAAACAGCAAAAAGAATAATGAATCCAAAAAAAAAAATTGTAGAGTGGGAGGATAAACGTGAGAAGACCTCAAACAACAACAACTTGGATTTATATAGCACCCTCCATGCCGGATGGCGTCTCAGAGTGCTTCAAAAAGATAAACAAATGTGCCACATATCTTGAAAAGTTGGAATGGAGTCTTAGATTTTGATTTTTAGAAGCCAAAATCTGATCTCTTACACTATTACAGAGAATATTGTGTATTCCAGTCTTTATTAACGACTTCAGGTTGTGTGTGTGAACCCTCTTCAGATTAAGTTCGCAAAGACTTTGACATTGATTCATTGGTTTTTAATAAGCCTTTCAACAGACGTGGGTTCTGGAAACTCGGTCTGACATAGAACACAATTCCCTTTTTTCAAAGGTTTTCAGTGTTTCTAATTTATGGTATTGAGGCAATGAGGGTAGGTTTTGGCCTTCCGACCGATAGCCTTGTGTTTTTAAGAGGGAAGGGGTTTTAAGGAGCGGAGCTTAGCATAGTCTGACAATTCTATTATAAACGTACGGTGTGAACAGAAGATCCCATCATGGCTTTGTGTGTGATCAGGCCAAGCTCACAAGAGGGCAGCACAAGCATTGGGTGCTGGAAGGTCTGATTCAATGGCAATTAACATTGAAATCCTGAGAACTGTCCATAACCTTTTCCATTGCACAATTTGAATTCATGTTACCCA